ATAGTGTAGCTATCGCGCCGCGTTTGACCACGACCGACGCGGATCCGATGGCGCGAGACGCGGGGAGATTGAGCAGCATTAGTAGGTCGTTCTCGGTCGCTGACGTGGCAGCATCACCGAACGATCCCATGGACTATGACGACCTTCCCGAGACCGCTCGTTATTATCACACGCTTATTCAGAACGTTCTGGCAGAAGCGCCTCGCGTAGCGCTTTTCGAGCACTCCCGTTACACTCACGCCGACCTTTTGAAGCACGCCGACCGTTTGAGTCACGCCGACCGCTCGAGTCGCGTGAATCGCCGCGCGCTGCAAGCTCTGCAGAACGTGACGCTCGCCCCGAACCGCACGCGTCGCAAGAACCCTCTCGACGGCCTTAACTACTACACGGGCGGTTGGAACCCCAGCAGCAAGGACTACTGGGCGGTACGTGCGTTGTTCGAAAGATTCAATATCATTTCACGTACTTGTGTAACCCACATAACCCAAGCAGTGCAAGAGTCCCCTCGACGGGCTTAACTACTACACGGGCGGGTGGGACCCCAGCAGCAAGGACTACTGGGCTGTACGTGTTTCGCGAACGAATGACTCGTAACCCACAACTTGCGCGATTCACAACCCTCGTAACTTATGTAACCCAGATGACTCGCATAACCCAGATGTCACAAGAACCCCCTCAACGGAAGGCTCGAAATGTTCGTTTTCTCTCTCTCCCTCTTCTCCCTCTCTCCCCGCCCTTACACTCCCCCTTTCATCGTCCCTCCCTCCCCGCCCCACCCCCTCCACAGTCGGTCATGTGGTCAGTAATATACGCGCCGCTGCTCGGCCTACTCTGGCTCATCCTGGGCCTCGGGATTCTCGGATTTTCCCTGCTCACCTGCCTGTGTTGTCGCGACAAGTGGACCGAAATGAGGGACCCTGCATACGCCAAGTACACCAACAAGGACCTCTGGGTGCCGCTCGGCTTCATGCTCCTCGGGATTGTCGCCGTGCTGTGAGTCGAAAACGCTTGTAACGGGAAAAGATTCTCTCTCTACGTCGCTCTAGTTTTGAGTCGACTCAAAAAAGATTCTCTCTCTACGTCTCTCTCGATTTTTTTCTAGTTCGCCTGGGGATTGTCGCCGTGCTGTGAGTGAGTTCCGTCAGGGTGACTTCTTCTGAGCCAGACTTCGAAGTGAGCAACGGTGTGAGAGGGAACAAGGATGGTTTTCCTCGCTTCGTTCTGAGGCGTCTCAAAGCACTGTGGTGTGGAGGTAGCTTTGTTTTCTATGTTGGAAATCAGTTCTGAAAATTCACGAAAGTGATTTCAACAGAGGTATCTGTGGTTTCCTCTCTTGTTATTGCAACAGTTTTCCTCTGTTTCCCTCTCTTGTTATTGCAACAGTTTTCCTCTGTTTCCCTCTCTTGTTATTGCAACAGTTTCCCTCTGTTTCCCTCTCTTGTTATTGCAACAGTTTTCCTCTGTTTTCCTCTCTTGTTATTGCATCGCTGGCGCTCTCTCTGTTTTGGTCTCTTTCTTCCTGTCCACGACTCCTTTCTGCAACAATCCCCTCTTCCCCCTCCCTCCCCGCCCCCTTCCTTGCTCCCCTAGCGCATTCTCTGCGATGCTAGCAGGGGGTGTGCATCTGAGGAACCGAGTGCACAAGGTCACGGACTATATCGCAGAAACTTCACCCTTTCTCCCTTTTCCTTCTGTTCCCCCACCCTTCCCCCCTACCTCCCCCCTCCCTCTCCCCGCCTTTCTTTGACCCACTAAGGTGGGATTCTCCGTGATGCTGGCAGGAGGCGTGCAGCTGAGGAACCGAGTGCACAAGGTGACGGGCTTTATCACTAAAACCGTTGACTTCTCCCTTTCTCCCTTTTGCTTCCATTCCCCCTCCCTTCCCCCTCCCTTCCCCTTCCCTTTCACCTCCCTTCCCCATCCCTTTCCCCTTCCCTTTCACCTCCCTTCCCCATCCCTTTCCCCTCCGTCCGCCTCCCTTCGCACTCCCTAATCCCCCAGGGTCGGATTCTCTGTGATGATCGCAGGGGGCGTGCAGCTGAGGAACCGAGTGCACAAGGTGACGGACTTTATCACCGAGACGGTTGACTTCACGGCCAGCGTCGTCTTCAACCTCTCCCGCATCGTTGAGACCAGCGCCTCCATCAACATCGCCAACACCGTCGTCCCACGTGCGTGCTTTCTAGGTTCCTTGTAGCAACCAGTGCACAAGGTGACAGGCTTTTATCACATCACAGAGGGAATTGATCAGGTGACTGGCTTTTATCACAGAGGGAATTGATCAGGTGACAGGCTTTTGAGTCGACTCAAAAGACAGGCTTTTATCACATCACAGAGGGAATTGATTTCACACACACCGTTGTAGTCGTCTTTAACCTGACTGACCCACATCGTCGAGACCAGCGCCTCCATCAACATCGCCAGCACCGTCGTCCCTCATGTGTTTGATTCTCTCGCTTGTGTGTGTTTGTTTGTCTGAATGTTTGTACGGCATGCTCTTTGTAGAGCAACTCTTTAATTTGTTAAGAAAGAACCAAATATATATTTATATAGATGTACATATACATACATACATGCTGCATGCATATTATACAAGTATTGCACCGGGTGCACATGGTTATATGGATCTCCTCACGGGGACCGTTGATTTCCCCCCTCCCGCTCCCTCCCTCCCCACTAAGAAGGCGGACACTTCGAGCAAGTCAAAAGTGACAAACCGAGACAGCCACGGGGCTGCAGGCCAAGACAGTGCCTGGCCATCCCCCAATTCTCCCTCCTTTCTCACTCCTTTCTCACTCCTTTCTCACTCCTTTCTCACTCCTTTCTCACTCCTTTCTCACTCCTTTCTCACTCCTTTCTCACTCCTTTCTCACCCCATTCTCACTCCTTTCTCACTCCTTTCTCACTCCTTTCTCACTCCTTTCTCAGCCCTTTATCACTCCTTTCTCATTCCTTTCTCCTCCTTTCTCCCTTCGTTCTCCCTCCTTTCTCACCCCTTTCTCGCTCCTTTCTCCCTCCTTACAGCTGCTAAGAAGGCGGACATACAGAGCAAAGCAAGGGTGGCCAATCAGACGGCCACCGAGCTGGAGGCCAAGACGGCGGATGGCATCGTCATCATCAATGACGCGCTGCGAGTAGTGTGAGTGCAGTGCGGTGCAGTGGGGTGCGACGCGGTTGTGTGTGGTGTGCAATGTGGTACGATGAGTGCAGTGCGGTGTGGTGCGGTGCTGTTCAGTGCTGTGTGGTGCGGTGCCGTCCAATGCAGTGGGTGTGTGTGGGGTGCGGTGCAGTGCGGCAGCTGTGAACTGTGAGTACGACTTGCAGGCCATGACGGCGGATCCGGATGGCATCGTCATCATCAACGACGCGTTGCGCGCCGTGTGAGTGCAGTGCGGTGCGGTGCTGTGCTGTGCGATGGGGTGTGGTGATGTGGGGTGCGGTGTGGTGTGGTGCAGTGCTGTGCAGTGCAGCGGTTGTACTGTGAGTACGACCTCCATGACCTTCTGCATGATGGGCTCTGCTTCTGCACGGTCATGCACGGTCATGCACGGTCATGCATGGTCATGCACGGTCATGCACGGTCATGCACGGTCATGCACGGTCATGCACGGTCATGCACGGTCATGCACGGTCATGCATGGTCATGCATGGTCATGCACGGTCATGCACGGTCATGCACGGTCATGCACGGTCATGCACGGTCATGCATGGTCATGCATGGTCATGCACGGTCATGCACGGTCATGCACGGTCATGCACGGTCATGCACGGTCATGCACGGTCATGCACGGTCATGCACGGTCATGCACGGTCATGCACGGTCATGCACGGTCATGCACGGTCATGCACGGTCATGCACGGTCATGCACGGTCATGCACGGTCATGCACGGTCATGCACGGTCATGCACGGTCATGCACGGTCATGCACGGTCATGCACGGTCATGCACGGTCATGCACGGTCATGCACAGTCATGCACGGTCATGCACGGTCATGCACGGTCATGCACGGTCATGCACGGTCATGCACGGTCATGCACGGTCATGCACGGTCATGCACGGTCATGCACGGTCATGCACGGTCATGCACGGTCATGCACGGTCATGCACGGTCATGCACGGTCATGCACGGTCATGCACGGTCATGCACGGTCATGCACGGTCATGCACGGTCATGCACGGTTCTGCACGGTTCTGTGTAAATCGCATTAGACGAGATGAGTTTTATCGCGCCAAAAAAAACATTCCTCGCCTCTTCGCTTCCCTCCTGCCCAACCCTCTTAAAGCACACTAAGACTGCCTCTTCCACGCCCTCTGAGACTGCCTCTTCCACGCCCTCTCCATGCCCCCCACCCCCCTCCTCCTCCCCTCTTTCCGTCAGCACGCTCACCTTCTCCATCCCAGGCTGCATCATCACTCACCGCTCTTTGTGTCTGTTGAGATGTCTCAAAAGCCCTTCCTGCTCTTCCCCACTCCCCTCCCTCCTTCCGTCAGCACACTAACCTTCTCCATCTTCACCCCTCTTTTCGTTCTCCCATGCATGTGTTCTCCCATGCATGTGTTCTCCCATGCATGTGTTCTCCCATGCATGTGTTCTGCCCTCCCTGGTCACACACATCCCTCCCTGCTCTTCCCCACTCCCCTCCCTCCTTCCTTCAGCACGCTGACATTCTCCATCTTAGGCTGTATCATCACCGCTCTCTGCATCTTAGCCCTCTGTGCGTCCCTCCCTCCCTCCCTCCCTTCCTCCCTCCCTCCATCCCTCCCTCTCTCCCTCCCTCCATCCCTCCCTCTCTCCCTACCTCTCTCCCTTGCACCCTCCCTCCCTCCCTCCCTCTTTCCCTCCCTCCCTCCCTCCCTCCCTCCCTCCCTCCCTCCCTCCCTCCCTCCCTCCCTCCCTCCCTTGCTCCTCTCTTCTCTGCCCCCTTCCTTCTCTGCCCCCTAACTTTTCTCCCTTCACTTTCCTCCCTCCTCTTCTCTTACCTCTCATCTCATCTCTTCCTTCCCTCCTCTCTTCCTGCATCCCCCCATCTGCTTCGTATCATACGCAATTCGAAATAACTGCCGTTGCAATCACAATCAAACCATAACTGCTCCGTTGCTCCGTGACACTGTTTCCCTCGCCACTGCTTCATAATCCTTGCCGTCACAGCAGCAGTCCTTTTGAGCCTAGAGGAATTTCAAATCTCTGAATCGCACAGTTACGAATTAGTAATCTCCACAGCCCCCGCCATTTCCTTCCCCCATTCAATGCTCGAATCACCGCCATTTCCTTCCCCCACTCAACGCTCGAATCACCGCCATTTCCTTCCCCAACTCAACGCTCGAATCACCGCCATTTCCTTCATCCACTCAACGCTCCCCCCCTCTCCCCTCCCTGCTTCCTACCCCTATGCCTTCCTCCCATCAACCTCCCACTTTCACCTTGTCTAACATCCCCTCTTTTCCCTGCCAGTGTTTTCTCTTCTCAAATGGGCCGTCGCATCCAATGTGTGAGTGTTCGTCGCATCCAATGTGTGAGTGTTCAAAAACCCTTCAATGCGTTCTTTACTTTGCGTTGCGTCCGATGGGCCGTTGCATACGTGCTAGAAAGCCTAGTACAACAGATATGTCACCATATTTATTGTGTCCGATTTATGATGGCGCGCACTCATGTTGTGAATGCGTTTTTGTCATATGATCAGCTAATTGAATTTGCTTTGCCAGTGCTTTGAATGATGTGCAAGTCTGGTTTTTTAAGTCCAGCTCTTTTATATCTAAGACTAAGTGTACTCTCTAAACTCTCCATTTTCTCGCAATTGTCTCCACACTCATCATGCCCAGAATCCTTGTTCTTCCAATCCCCATTAACAGCATCGTCACTATAATATGGGTGGTGGTCTTCTTTACTTGGTGCACTACAGCCGGTTTAATTATTGCATATCTGTAAGTGTCATATACGGTTCGCCTGTATGCCTTTGTTGATTCACTTTGTTAAGCCCTTCATCACACCATATCCATTTGCCTTTATTTTCCGTAAACCTCTAAAATATCATATGTACACACATTCTTGTGAGCCCCACGATTTTCAAGCCTGTACTACCAAATTCTTGGGCATCATGTTCTCTTTATTCTTTGGGGGTTAACATATATTGTTGCATGTATCACGGATTAACCTCAAAACCCAATCCCCAATCCCCAACCCCACAATCACCAACCTCTCCAGGGTGAATGGAGACACCAACGTGGCATTGGAGCAGGTGCAGCAGTCCCCCACCCACCATCGGTCAGCGCCATGGACCAATACCTGCACTGCATCGCCAGCATGGTGTAGCCTCTAGGCCGCTCTTCCACTCATCTCCACTCCCTCCCTTCAACCCCAGGGTGAATGGTGATACCAACGTGGCGCTGGAAGAGGTGCAGCAGTCCCCCACCATGGTCAGCGCCATGGACAAGTACCTGCACTGCATCCCCAGCGACCAGATTGCCAATACCACTCGCTACGCGCGCTACACTACTGCCACCGCGCTCACCGTCGCCAACACGTCTGTCACCACCAACGCTCCTAAGGTGAGTGCAGTGCTAAATCAGCCGCTACACCGTCACTCAAGAGCCGCTCGAGAGCCGCTCGAGAGGCGCCCTTTCTCCCGTCCTCCTTTTTGAAGCTTCTGAGGCGCCTCAAAATCCTTCTGAGACGTTTCAAAACTTAAAAACAGTCCGCTACACCGTCGCTCAAGATTTCCTCAAGAGTCGCTCAAGAGTCCCCATTTCTCCCGTCCTCCTTTTTGAAGCTCCTCAAGAGGCTCTGAAGTGCCCCCCCCCCTCCCCCACCCCCCTCCTCTCTCTCCCTGTCCTCCCTTCTCCCTCTCCCCCCCCAACTCCCCTTTCTTTCCCTGCTCCCCTGCCTCTCACTACAGTTGTTTGACCTCCTTGGTGTTCCGGCTGGCCTCTGTGTGCCGTACGGCCCGCCGCCCTGTCAATGCCCCCCCTGCTTCCCCTCTCTCCCCCCTTTCCCCCCCACCACAGCTGTTTGACCTCCTTGGTGTTCCGGGCGGCCTCTGTGTGCCGTACGGCCCGCCTCCAGACTACACACGCAATGCGAGCTACTGCGCTGACAGCACCACCAAGACCATCACCTTCCCGAGTTTGGTGGATGTGAGTAGTGTGTGTTTGCTCATGTAGCGTCTGTGATGTAACGTGTTTGAGGTGCCTCAAACATTGCGAGCTACTGCGATGACAGCACCACCAAGACCATCACCTTCCCGAGTTTCGTGGATGTGAGTAGCGACTGTTGAGACATCTCAAAACACTGTTTTTTTCACGTGGTAAATCCGGTATCCCAGGGGTCACCCTGACTCATGTTTCGAAGGGCTGCAGTAGCAGAGAGGACGCTTAAGCAAAGGAACAAACAGTGAAAACTGGTGAAAAAAAAAAAACGCAGATCTGAAAAACCCTTAGCTTCCGAAAAGCCTCCTTGCGTAAACTAGTTTCGGCGGATGGGCGAACCCAATCACGCCTTCATCAGTACAGCACAATTCGGAACTCAGAAACAGAGAGTCTGGTAGCAGCTAAAGTAGCTAGATTACCCTCGAGATCTACATACAAGAAACCCGACTACCCAGAATCCAACTAGGAAAGGGGTTTGCCAACTAGGCAATGAAACAAATTCAGGGTGCCAAGTCAGCCTTCGGGAACTTCTTCGACAACATTGGCGAGTGACTTTGGTAACCGCGCCCTTACAAGTAACCGCTGAAGGTTACGCGCACACTTCCATGCAATTATAATTCTCCCCACATAAAAACCGCGAGACAGGAGACGACTTTTGAGGCGCCTCAAAAGCACCCCCAGCCTGAGACGACCGGTCAAAGGTGTGAACAGTGTCTTCAAGACTAGGGGGCCGCGTTCGGGGGGAGTTTCAAGTTTGTGTGCGTGGCGGGCAGCAGTCTGCTCCAGAAGGAGAGGTCGTTGACGAAAGAAAATGCTCCTGAAGATGGGTAGAAGGAAATCAGAGGGGTAAGCCCGACTTCGTAGCCGCTGGTAGAAAGCGTGCTTAGAGGCGAGAAAGGTATCAGCAGCGGTCGAGCGGTATCACCCCCAGCATCCTCATCCCCACCCCCAGCATCCTCATCTCCACCCCCAGCATCCTCATCCCCACCCCCAGCATCCTCATCCCCACCCCCAGCATCCTCATCTCCACCCCCAGCATCCTCATCCCCACCCCCAGCATCCTCATCCCCACCCCCAGCATCCTCATCCCCACCCCCAGCATCCTCATCCCCACCCCCAGCATCCTCATCCCCACCCCCAGCATCCTCATCCCCACCCCCAGCATCCTCATCCTCGTCTCGTCGTAGCAAACCTTCCCCCGTGCTCCTCCCCCCCGTGCCCCTCCCCCCCGTGCCCCTTCCCTCATGCCCCTCCCCCCATGCCCCTCCCCCCATGCCCCTCACCCCGTGCCCTTCACCCCATGCCCCTCCCCCCATGCCCCTCCCCCCATACCCCTCCCCCCCATGCCCCTTCCCCCATGCCCCTCTCCCGTGCCCCTCTCCCCGTGCCCCTCCCCCCAGGCACTGGCAAGAACGGTCAACAGCAGCGAGATTGTGCCGGATGCGGTAAAGAACGACCTCACTGCTGCTGCCACAACGCTCTCTCTGCTCGAGTCCACCATCCCCAACGTCCTCTTTCTCGCCAACTGCTCCTACGTCGCCGAGATAGCCCAGGTATAGCTTCCCCCTTGCTTGTTTTGAGACGTCTCAAAACACTCTTCTGTCGCCGAGATAGCCCAGGTATAGCTTCCCCCTTGCTTGTTTTGAGACGTCTCAAAACACTCTTCTGTCGCCGAGATAGCCCAGGTATAGCTTCCCCCTTGCTTGTTTTGAGACGTCTCAAAACACTCTTCTGTCGCCGAGATAGCCCAGGTATAGCTTCCCCCTTGCTTCCGTGTGAGTGTTTTAGAGGCTCGTGTGCGAGAAAACATCCACCATTCCTAATGTCCTCTTTCTCGCCAACTGCTCCTATGTCTCTGAAATCGCCCTGGTAAGGCCAGGCCCACTCCCATGCTCCCATGCTCCCATGCTCCCATGCTCCCATGCTCCCATGCTCCCATGCTCCCATGCTCCCATGCTCCCATGCTCCCATGCTCCCATGCTCCCATGCTCCCGTGCGTGGGCTCTGAACGCGTGTGCGAGAAAACATCCACCATCCCCAACGTCCTCTTTCTCACCAACTGCTCCTATGTCTCTGGAATCTCCCAGGTACGGCTGTGGTCTTGCAGCCTTGCTTTTTGCATTGGGCGAGGTTCAGGCGATGGTGACGCATTTCCAGATGCTCTGGATTGGCTTCCTGGTCATCTCAAACGCATGGATGAATGGATATGCTTCTGTTCACTCACCTTCATACTCTCCCTCCTCCCTCCTCCCTCCTCTCTCTCATCTCTCTCATTGGGCAGTTTGCATTGGGCGAGGTTCAGGCGATGGTAACGGATTTCCAGATGCTGTGGATTGGTTTCCTGGTCATCACCATCGCCTGCATGATGCAGGCCCTCTCCATGCCTATCTACGTCTTCCGAGCCGTCAGGATCGGCCACAGGCTCGGCGACGACGAAGCCGAGGGGTAAGACTTGGGAGTTTCCTGGGAAAGGGTTGGGGATGATGGTCAGGGTATGGAGGGCATGGGTGGAGGATGGGGTCTGGGAGAGTCTTTTGAGATGCCTCAATTATCGTCCCTACCCCTGCAAGTTCTATATTGCCTGATATTGGGGATGACAGGGTGTGGAGTGCACGGGTGTTGGGTAGGGTGTGGAAAACAAGGGACAGTGGTGAGGTGATAGGGAGCGGTGGGGGATGGGGTTAGGGGGATGGGATTAGGGAGATGGGGTGGGGGTATGGGGGGAGGGGGGATGGGGTGGGGGGATGGGGGAAGAGTTGGGATAGTGAGTGCAGGAGTAATAAGCCCTTCATGTATTTCCAGCTCCTAAATAGCTATTCCACTGCACATCATACACACGGTACCTGAACAGAAATCCATGGGACATGCATAAAGACACATACTACCTCTGTCACTATAGCTTCATGCCTCCCACCCATTCCCATCCCCTTTATTGTCGTCTGCATGCCAGGCTCTACAAGGCTTCAGCTGTTCCAGTTGCATACCCTGCAGGGGGTGAGGGTGAGGACCATACACAAGGGAACGAACCCAGCTTTACAGAAGGCTCGACCAACTCACATGTAGGCTCGGAGCAACCTTATAGCAGCAGCGCATACGCGGACGAAAGCTACAAGTAATTGCTCTCGTTTGCTGCCATGTAAAGATAGGGCTGCCGGTATCTAGGGCCCTATTGGCTCGGAGCAACCTTATAGCAGCAGCTCATGTGCAGGCAAAAGCGGTGCCGGTTACAAGTAAAAATGCAGTGTATGTTCTGTTTTGTGTATGACCTTAGCTCTCATAAAATATGGGATTTGCTGGTTAAGTTTGATTGCTGTACTGAGTATAAAAATGTTTCAAATGTTAATATGCATGCTGGGCTATTTAGTATGGAATATGAACAAACTCAGCTTGTCTGACTGTGGTTCTTCGTTCCAGACCTTGACGTCTACTTGCACAATTACAGTTCATGCTTCGTGTTCCAGGACGGTTTAACACGGTGAAAAAGCGTTATTTATGTTGATAAATAAGACACCTACACGACAAATTTGGCCGATCGGGACACCGTTTGCGAATCGCGATAAACCAGCAACTCCATGGCAGGCAAAAGGGGCACCTACAATTGATGCCTGTTTGAGCCCCTCCCGGTTGCCTTGTGAAGAGGGCGTATAAGCTGTATCGAGCATTTCGCATAAGTTTCGTCATTTCGCAGCTATCTAAAAAGGATTCGGAGGTGCTTATATTAAGGATCTGTAACCTTATTCGTTGACAATTTGACTTCGGTCTCTTCAGTTTGATTTCAGTCTGTTCGTTATTATTGGTCCATAACCACGCGACGCGCTTGTATCGTGGGTGCAACAGGCTGGGGAAAAGACCTCGGGTGCAGCGTTTCCATCCGGTGCAGGGCAAATTCGCGTGCAGTGGCTGGGCATCATGTGTACGTTCAAACTTTGCACCTGACCCTTGAGAACGTGTTCAACACGTTCGTCTGAGTGCGGCTCGAAGTTTTATATACAGCGGTCAATTTATTATTTAGAGTGGTTAGGTAGGTTAGTGATACAGCACGAATGTGTGGTGTGCGATATACACCGGGCCTTTCGTCCTCGCCTCAGCCTCCTGGTCTTCCCCTCCGTTTTTCACCGTCACCCGCCACCGAATAATTAACTGTCTTGTAGTGTCTCACTCTGTTATGACTAAAGTTCCTCTTTTGGGTGGTGTTCTGTTGCCGTATAGCATGGCTTGAGCGCCAACGTGGTGGTTGCTGGGCTGCCTTTCATTGTGGTTGTGCCGCTTTTAGTTCTAGAGAGCGGTTGTGCCGCTACCTAGGCGCCGCTAGTTACGGAGACGGAGCTCCATTTCTGACGCGTGAATGCCTACTCTAGCTGCAGTAGCGCATTAGGCGGACAAGCACAGAGGTTGCTTGCTGAGACGCCTCGAATCACCACCCCCGCGTCTCATTGCACGAGGGCCCTACGTCACGTCCTAAAAGCGCTTTTAACCATCTCAAGTGGCTTCAACGTCTTACGAGCGCTTTAGATAACAAAGAGACTATACTAATACGCTGGAAATTGATGGAGGGCATGCGGAGAAGAGGCGGTTGTGCTACGCCAAATAAGGCGTGTAGCCCCCGTCGGGCAGCGCACGCTTCGTCGCCTCGTGGCTGGTCGCATACTTCTGGCATTGGGAAAAGTTTTTCCTTCCTCCTCCTCGCCATCTGCGTTGTAGCTACCGCGCCGCGTCTGTGCGCAGGCGACTCGGATTCGACGGCGCAGATTGCGGCGCGGTTGAAGGGCATTAGTGGGTCTTCCCTAGTTCCCGACGTGACAGCATCGCAGAAGTTTCACCCGGAATATAATCACCTCCCCGATGCCGTCCTTTACTACGACGCGCTAATTCGGAACGCTATAACACAAGCGCCTCGCGCCGCGATTTTGGAACACGCCCGTTTTAATCACGTCACTCGTCGCGCGTTACAACAAATCCTCCAGAACGTGACTCTCGCTCCGAACCGCACGCGGCGCAAGAACCCTCTCGACGGACTTAGGGACTACACCGGCGGGTGGGACCCAGCCAACAAGGACTACTGGGCGGTACGTGTTTCGCGAACGAATGACGAAATTACGAAACCCGTGTAACCCACATAGCTCACAGAATCGCACGTGGCGCAAGAACCGCTCTCCCCGCCCCGCTCTTCCCGCCCCGCTTTCCCCGCCCTTACCCTTCCGCCCCTTCTCCCCCTTCTCCCTCCTCTCCCCCCCTCCCCCGTCCCCCAGTCCGTCATGTGGTTGGTGGTTTGCGCGCCGCTGCTCAGGCTGCTCTACTTGCCGCTGTTTTGTTCCTGAACCTTACACCCCTCCCCACCCCTCCCCGCTCCGACCCGCTCCCCCAGTCCGTGGTGTGATCGGTGGTCTACGCGCCGCTGCTCGGGCTGCTCTGCTCGCCGCTTCCCCCTTCCTGGACCTTACACCCCTCCCCACCTTTCCGCACCCCTCCCCGCTCCGACCCGCTCCCCCAGTCCGTGGTGTGGTCGGTGGTGTACGCGCCGCTGCTCGGCCTTCTCTGGCTGATCCTGGGCCTCGGGATTGTCGGATTCTCGCTGCTCACCTGCCTGTGCTGTCGCGACAAGTGGACCGAAATGAGGGACCCCAAATACGCCAAGTACACCAAGAAGGACCTCTGGGTGCCGCTGGGCTTCATGCTCCTCGGGATTGTCGCCGTGCTGTGAGTGCTGATATTGAGAATGCTTGTAACAGAAATGACTGACATCTAAGATGCAATTTTTGTTTTTTTCTCGTGATATAAGGTATCACAAGATTCGCCTGTAAAAACACCATATATATATATATATATACATATGTATATATATACATAAAAAATCGGCCCACCCTGTTCTCGTTCCTCTCCCTCCTCTCCCAGGGTGGGATTCTCTGTGATGGTGGCAGGAGGAGTGCAGCTGCATAACCGCGTGAACACGGTGACACAGTACGTGACGGAGCAGGTGGACTTCACGGCCAGTGTGATCTACAACCTCTCCAACATCGTGGAGACGAGCTCCTCTATCACCATCGCCAACGCCGTCATTCCCGGTGAGTGAGACAAGCCAAGCCGAGCCGTGCCACCCACACACACATTCTGGGAAAGAGCTCCTCTATCACCATCGCCAACGCCGTCATTCCAGGTGAGTTGCCTTTTCATGCGCCTTGAAAGCCGTTGTTCGATGCGCCTTTTAAGGCGCCTCAAAAGCCGTTGTTCGATGCGCCTTTTAAGACGCCTCAGAAGCCGTTGTTCGATGCGCCCCGAACAGTTCAGGACCAGCGTGGTCTTCAGCCTCTCCAGCATCGTGCCTGCCTGGGGTGAGTTTAACTCAGCCTCTCCAGCATCGTGCCTGCCTGGGGTGAGTTTAACTCAGCCTCTCCAGCATCGGGGAAACAAGCTCGACTAGTGCCGCTGCACCGTCACCAACGCCACGCCGTCATTCCGGGTGAGTGAGACAAACTGTGCCACGCGGACGCCTGGGGTAAATCTGATTTGATTCAACCTCTCCATCATTGTGGACACGAGCTCGACAGCTGCACCGTCGCCAATGCCGTCATACCAGGTGAGTGAGACAAGTCGAGCTGCACCACACCACACCACACCACACCACACCACATCACACCACACCACACCACACCACATCACACACACGGGGTGCCTGCCTTGCATTGTAGTGAGCTACTTGCAGAAGGCGGGCATTCAGAACAGGGCACCGCCTGCAGCTGACAAGAAGGTGGGCATTGAGAGCAAGGCGAGGAAGGCGATGGAAACAGCTGCTCACTACCAACCCTCCCTCTCCCTCCATCCCCTTTCACCAGCTGACAGGAAGGCAGACATTGAGAGCAAGGCGAGGAAAGCAAAGGAGACAGCCACTCACCATCGCTCTCTCTCTCTCCTCTCCCTCGTTTCCCCCCTTTCCCATGCAACCGCCTGGAGCTGACAAGAAGGCGGACATTGAGAGCAAGGCGAGGAAAGCAAACGAGGCAGCCACTCACCATCACTCTCTCTCCCCTTTCTCCCCCTTTCTCCCCCTTTCACCAGCTGACAAGAAGGCGGACATTGAAGCCAAGGCAAGGAAAGCAAACGAGACAGCCACAGAGCTGCAAGCCAAGACAGCGGACGGCATCAACCTCATCAACAACGGCCTGCGAGTCCTGTGAGTGCAGTGCGGTGTAGTGCGGTGTACTGCAGAGCAATGCAGTGCCGTGGGGTGGAGTACGGTGCGGTGTGGTGTAACTGCTGTGCTGTTTGCGCGCAGTGTGGTGCGGTGTGCGCCCCTCCGCTCGCCTACCATTCCCTTCTTCCCCACCTCCCCTCTCTACCCCGTTCCCGACCGTCTGTGCCTGTCCCTCCCCCCCACTTAGTTCAATTACCTTCTATGTCATTGGATGCGTCATCACCACCCTTTTGAAAGGATGCTGTCTTCACTTAAAGTTGACTTGGCATATGCCTGCCTCTCCCCCCTACCCCCATCCATCTCTTTCCCCACCTTCTCCCCTCCCCCCCCCTCCCCCCCACTTCAGTTCCATTACCTTCTATGTCATTGGATGCGTTATCACTGCCCTTTGCATCCTCGCCTTACGTGAGCTCCTTTCTGCCTCCTCTGTTCTTCCCTAACTCTGTCCCCTTCTCCTCTCCTCGATAATCACGTCAATGATATTTTTCTGTCCAACCTCTACAATCCCCTGCCACTGCTCACCTTTCTGGCTAGCATTTTATTGCAAGCAATAATTGTATCACTCATTACAATTTGTTGACAAATTATTTACTTCTCGTTTTATTCATTCATTGCTGTTGCCTTGCGCCCTTGGCTTTTGAGGCGCCTCAAAAGTCATTGCTGTGGCCTTGCGCCCTCGGCCCTCTCACTCGCAATGTTCTTGGAATAAGTTTTTGAGAAGCGATCCCAGAGCATGTGCGAGGGTATGAACGAGACGAGAGTCCAAAAGATATTTTTTTAGAAACAAGGCGCGACCTGCTGCGGCAACATTTTTTTTCAAAAGCAATTGTGAAGCACATCCTTGTTGTATGTGCTAGTGCTAGGGTTGCGACTCTTGCCAATCTCTTCGCGCTCGTGTATCTGCCATGCATGTACCGCCATTTGTGATGTGATTCGTCTTTTTTTTTTTTTTTTCCCCTTTCTTGTCTTACACCCTCTTATGTATGGTTCTCCTCGCAGTGTTTTCTCTTCTCAAATGGGTCGTGGCTTCCAACATGTGAGTGCTCTTGCATGCTTAAAGAAGTTTCCTTGCATTCCAAGTTGTTATTTATGTTATTTCCATTGCTGTTTGAAGAATTGGTATAGTGTTGATGAACATGTACCTGGCTTTGATTCGGAACGATTTTAGCTTTCTTCCACACATCACATTGTAACGCCCCTCCGACTCATCATTCTACTCTCACAGTACCAATCATCAACGCTGGCTATGTTCGTACCCTTGCCCTTTGTCTATCCCCCTCCACAGCTTTCTCACTCTAATCTGGGTGGTGGTTTTCTTGACTTGGTGCATGACAGCTGGTTTACTGATTGCATACCTGTAAGACTCTTATATCGAAATCACTTGCATACCTGTAAGACTCTTATATCGAAATCACTTGCATACCTGTAAGACTCTTATATCGAAATCACTTGCATACCTGTAAGACTCTTATATCGAAATCACTTGCATACCTGTTAGACTCTTATATCGAAATCACTTGCATACCTGTAAGACTCTTATATCGAAATCACTTGCATACCTGTAAGACTCTTGCTCGCACGCACTTCCTAGCTACCACCGAACGTTTTTACACAAGAGCATTTTTTTCCTGTAAGTAGTTCCAACAACGACCACTGGTGTTCAATCCTAAGTTGGTTGCTGCTGCCACGTGTCATCTCAATGCCGCCTAACTGGTGTCCTCTTCCAGGACAAATACCTTCACTTCACTTCATGGCGACACAAGCGTGGCACTGGCGCAGTCGACTCAAAAGGCACTGGATGGAGCAGTCGCCCACCATCAACAGCACCATGGACAAATACCTTCACTGCATCCCCAGCAGTAACAAGTGCCTGCTCTGCTCCCTCCCTCGTCTTCCCTCCTTTTCCCCCACCAATCCCTACTCCCAACCCAACCCAAACCCCCCAACCAGGGTAAACGGCGACACAAGTGTCGCATTGGAGCAGGTGCAGCAATCCCCCACCATCAGCAGCGCCAAGGACAAATACCTCTACTGCATCCCCATGTTTGAACAAGGGTTTTGAGACGTCAGCACGTAGCCATGGACAAATACCTCCACTGCATTCCCAGGGGGGTATAGACTGCCCTCCCCCTCAACTCCACTCCCTCCCTCCCTCCATCCCCCAATCCCAATCCCCCCACGACCAGGGTCAACGGTGACACCAGTGTGGCGTTGGAGCAGGTGCAGCAGTCCCCTACAATCAGCAGCGCCATGGACAAATACCTTCATTGCATCCCCAACGAGAAGCTCTTGAATGCCACTCGCTACGCGCGTTACACCGCTGCCACCGTGCTCACCACTGCCAACACCTCAGTTGTCACCAACGCTCCCAGGGTGAGTGAGTGCAGTCATTGGGGTGCAGTCATTGGGGTGCAGTCATTGGGGTGCAGTCATTGGGGTGCAGTCATTGGGGTGCAGTCATTGGGGTGCAGTCATTGGGGTGCAGTCATTGGGGTGCAGTCATTGGGGTGCTTACGACTGCTGTCTGCCGATGATTGGGGTGACCTTTTGAGGCGAGTGTCACAGGATGTGCGTTGCACCGCTGCTGCCGTGCTCACCACGGCCAACAGCTCTGTGGTCAGCAACGCACCTAGGGTATGTGAGTGCAGTGCAGTGCAGTGCAGTCATTGCTTGCACCAACTGTGTGCCCTGCGGCCCGCCCCTCCTACTACCCTGCCCGCCCCTCCTACTACCCTGCCCGCCCCTCCTACTACCCTGCCCGCCCCTCCTACTACCCTGCCCTACCCTGCCACCGTGCTCACCGTGATTCTTGAGGTGACTGACTCAAAGGCTGCATGCCGCACCCATGCTGCACCCATGCTGCACCCATGCTGCACCCATGCTGCACCCATGCTGCACCCATGCTGCGCCCATGCTGCACCCATGCTGCACCCATGCTGCACCCATGCTGCACCCATGCCGCACCCATGCTGCACCCATGCTGCACCCATGCTGCACCCATGCCGCACCCATGCTGCACCCATGCTGCACCCATGCTGCACCCATGCTGCACCCATGCTGCACCCATGCTGCACCCATGCTGCACCCATGCTGCACCACCACCACTGTCCTCACCACTGCCATCATGCTCACCACTGCCAGCAGCTCGGTTGTTGGCAACGCACCTAGAGTGAGTTCAGTCATTTTTGAGTCGACTCAACAATAGGCTCAGTAGGTTGGCAACGCACCTAGAGTGAGTGCAGTCATTTTTGAGTCGACTCAACAATAGGCTCAGTAGGTTGGCAACGCACCTAGAGTGAGTTCAGTCATTGCTTGCAGCAACTGTGTGCCCTGCGGCCCGCCTTTCCTTATCACCTTGTCTCCCACCACCACGGCTATTTAACCTTGTCACTGCTCTGCCTGCTCCCCCTGCTCCCCCAATTCCCTCTCTTCCCCTCCCTTTCCCACTGCCGCCTTCCCCGCCACAGCTATTGAAGCTTCTTAATGTTGCGGGTGGCATCTGTGTGCCCTACGGCCCGCCCCTCCTACTCCCCCGCCTCGCACCACAGCTATTTAGCCTTCTCAATGCTCCCCCTGCTTCCCTTCCCTCCCTCCCCCCACCGCCTCCCACCACAGCTATTTACGATTCTTGGTGTTCCGGGCGGCATCTGTGTACCGTACAGCCCTCTTCTCTCTATTATCCTGCCTCCTGCCTCTCCCTATTATCCTGCCTCTCCCTATTATCCTGCCTCCCTCCGCAGCTTACTTCCCCCTCCTTCCCCAACCCCCACCACCCTCCCACAGTTATTTAACTTCCTTGGTGTTCCTGGCAGCATCTGTGTGCCCTACGGCCTCCCTCGCTCTATTCTCCTGCCTCCCTCTACAGCTCTCTTTCCCCCCTTCCCGTCCCGCCTTCCCCACCACAGCTATTTAAGATTCTCGGTGTGCCGGGCGGCATCTGTGTGCCATACGGCCAGCCTCTCCCTATTATCCTGCCTCCTACTACAGCTATATCACCCTCCTCCCTCTCCCCCTCCTCTCCCCTTCTCCCTTGCACCACAGCTATTTAAGATTCTTGGTGTGCCGGGCTGCATCCGTGTGCCATACAGCCCTCCTCTCCCTCCTCATCTGATGCTGCAGGGTGTTTTTGAGAATTCTCAAAAGCACTCTCCCTACTTTCCTCCTTCCTCCCTCCAAAGTTACTCAACCTTGTCACTGCTCCCCTTGCTCCCTCCCTCCCTCCCCCCCCTTCCCACCACAGCTATTTAAGATTCTCCGTGTGCCGGGCGGCATCTGTGTGCCGTACGGCCCGGCGCCCAATTTCACGCGCGACACAAACCTCTGTGTTGACGGCACCATCCTCTTCCCGGATTTTGTCAACGTGAGTGGCTGGTGTGCTGATGTGGCATGTGTGCTGCGTGCTGATGTGGCATGTGTGCTGCGTGCTGATGTGGCATGTGTGCTGCGTGCTGATGTGGCATGTGTGCTGCGTGCTGATGTGGCATGTGTGCTGCGTGCTGATGTGGCATGTGTGCTGTCGTGGCACGTGCTCTCACAGCCTTTTGAGTCGGCCACACACGTCACAAACAGCACATTGTTTGTAACGCCCCTTGCTGCACGGTGTTTTTGAGAATTCTCAAAAACACCCTGTAACGCCCCTTACTCCTGCCTGTCCCCCTCCCCTTGTCCCCCTCCACCTGTCCCCCTCCCTCTGTCCCCCTCCTGTCCCCTTGCCCCTGCCTCCCTTACCACTGTCTCCCTCCTCCCGCCTTGCAGATGCTTATGACGACAGCTGGAGCTCTGCTTTGGTGCCAGAGGTGGTGAGGAACGGCCTCACAGCCTTTTGAGTCCAACACAACTCCCCCTTTGCCTCCTGTACCCTCCTCCCCATTTCCCCCTTCCTCCCTGTGTTTCCCCCTCTCTCCCCCCGCCCTCCAGATGCTTATCACGACAGCTGGCAGCTCTGCTCTGGTGCCCGAGGTGGTACGGAACGACCTCACAGCCTTGTGATTCAGACATAACTCCGCCTTTTCGTCACAACTCCCCCCTTTGCACACAACACCCCCTTTCCTCCTGTCACCTCCCCTTTCCCACTGTCTTCCTTCCTCCCTCCCCTCCTCCCGCAGATGCTTATGACGACAGCTGGCAGCTCTGCTCTGGTGCCCGAGGTGGTACGGAACGACCTCACAGCCTTATGAGTCGGCCACAACTCCCTCCCCCTTTTTCCACCCTCTCCTCCCGCCCTGCAGATGCTCATGATGACAGCCGGCAGCTCAGTGTTGGTGCCTGAGGTGGTATGGAAGGACCTCACGGCCTTCAGAGTCAGTAAAACACACATTGTCCTCACCTCGCTACCCCCTTGTCCTCATTCCCCCCACCCCCCGCCCTGCAGATGCTCATGACGACAGCCGGCAGCTCAGTGCTGGTGCCTGAGGTGGTGAGGAACGACCTCACAGCCACGGCACAGACGCTCGCGCTGCTCGAATCCACCATCCCCAACGTGCTTACCCTTGTGGACTGCTCCTATGTCGCCAACATTGCCAAGGTGAGAAGATATGCAGTGCGGTGCGGTGCGGTGCAGTACAGTGCTGTGTGGTGCAGTGCGGTGCTGTGCGGTGCCAGAGGTGGTGATGAACGGCCTCACAGCCACGGCTCAGACGCTCGCGCTGCTCGAATCCACCATCCCCAACGTGCTTACCCTTGTGGACTGCTCCTATGTCGCCAACATTGCCAAGGTGAGAAGATATGCAGTGCGGTGCGGTGCGGTGCAGTACAGTGCTGTGTGGTGCAGTGCGGTGCTGTGCGGTGCCAGAGGTGGTGATGAACGGCCTCACAGCCACGGCTCAGACGCTCGCGCTGCTCGAATCCACCATCCCCAACGTGCTTACCCTTGTCGACTGCTCCTATATCGCCAACATTGCCAAGGTGAGAAGATATGCAGTGCGGTGCGGTGCGGTGCAGTGCAGTGCTGTGTGGTGCAGTGCGGTGCTGTGCGGTGCCAGAGGTGGTGATGAACGGCCTCACAGCCACGGCTCAGACGCTCGCGCTGCTCGAATCCACCATCCCCAACGTGCTTACCCTTGTGGACTGCTCCTATGTCGCCAACATTGCCAAGGTGAGAAGATATGCAGTGCGGTGCGGTGCGGTGCAGTACAGTGCTGTGTGGTGCAGTGCGGTGCTGTGCGGTGCCAGAGGTGGTGATGAACGGCCTCACAGCCACGGCTCAGACGCTCGCGCTGCTCGAATCCACCATCCCCAACGTGCTTACCCTTGTCGACTGCTCCTATATCGCCAACATTGCCAAGGTGAGAAGATATGCAGTGCGGTGCGGTGCGGTGCAGTGCAGTGCTGTGTGGTGCAGTGCGGTGCTGTGCGGTGCCAGAGGTGGTGATGAACGGCCTCACAGCCACGGCTCAGACGCTCGCGCTGCTCGAATCCACCATCCCCAACGTGCTTACCCTTGTCGACTGCTCCTATGTCGCCAACATTGCCAAGGTGAGAAGATATGCAGTGCGGTGCGGTGCGGTGCAGTACAGTGCTGTGTGGTGCAGTGCGGTGCTGTGCGGTGCCAGAGGTGGTGATGAACGGCCTCACAGCCACGGTTCAGACGCTCGCGCTGCTTGAATCCACCATCCCCTACGTGCTCACCCTCGTCGACTGCTCCTACGTCGCCACCATGGTTGGAATTATGGTTCCTTCATGGGAACTCAGGCTGACTTTTGAGTCGACTCAAGAGTCACCTCCAACTTCCAGATGGGTTGGAATTATGGTTCCTTCATGGGAACTCAGGCTGACTTTTGAGTCGACTCAAGAGTCACCTCCAACTTCCAGATGGGTTGGAATTATGGTTCCTTCATGGGAACTCAGGCTGACTTTTGAGTCGACTCAAGAGTCACCTCCAACTTCCAGATGGGTTGGAATCATGGTTCCTTCATGGGAACTCAGGCTGACTTTTGAGTCGACTCAAGAGTCACCTCCAACTTCCAGATGGGTTGGAATTATGGTTCCTTCATGGGAACTCAGGCTGACTTTTGAGTCGACTCAAGAGTCACCTCCAACTTCCAGATGGGTTGGAATCATGGTTCCTTCATGGGAACTCAGGCTGACTTTTGAGTCGACTCAAGAGTCACCTCCAACTTCCAGATGGGTTGGAATTATGGTTCCTTCATGGGAACTCAGGCTGACTTTTGAGTCGACTCAAGAGTCACCTCCAACTTCCAGATGGGTTGGAATTATGGTTCCTTCATGGGAACTCAGGCTGACTTTTGAGTCGACTCAAGAGTCACCTCCAACTTCCAGATGGGTTGGAATTATGGTTCCTTCATGGGAACTCAGGCTGACTTTTGAGTCGACTCAAGAGTCACCTCCAACTTCCAGATGGGTTGGAATTATGGTTCCTTCATGGGAACTCAGGCTGACTTTTGAGTCGACTCAAGAGTCACCTCCAACTTCCAGATGGGTTGGAATTATGGTTCCTTCATGGGAACTCAGGCTGACTTTTGAGTCGACTCAAGAGTCACCTCCAACTTCCAGATGGGTTGGAATTATGGTTCCTTCATGGGAACTCAGGCTGACTTTTGAGTCGACTCAAGAGTCACCTCCAACTTCCAGATGGGTTGGAATCATGGTTCCTTCATGGGAACTCAGGCTGACTTTTGAGTCGACTCAAGAGTCACCTCCAACTTCCAGATGGGTTGGAATTATGGTTCCTTCATGGGAACTCAGGCTGACTTTTGAGTCGACTCAAGAGTCACCTCCAACTTCCAGATGGGTTGGAATTATGGTTCCTTCATGGGAAATCAGCGTGCTGTTTCGCCCCCCAATGCCCCCTCAACCCCCCTTCCCCCCACTGTGTCCCCCCAATTTGCAATATCCGAGGCACAGGCAATGGTGACCAATTTCTCTTCTAGATGCTCTGGGTCGGCTTCCTAGTCCAGGCATCACCGGTGCCTTTACGATACTCACGAGTCCCCTTACGATACTCACGAGTCCCCTTACGATACTCACGAGTCCCCTTACGATACTCACGAGTCCCCTTACGATACTCACGAGTCCCCTTACGATACTCACGAGTCCCCTTACGATACTCACGAGTCCCCTTACGATACTCACGAGTCCCCTTAATTCCCATATCCCAACTCCCCTGCCTCCCCTTCCCATTGTGCCCCACCCAGTTTGCAATGTCGGAGGCACAGGCGATGATAACCAATTTCCAGATGCTGTGGATTGGCTTCCTGGTCATCACCATCGCCTGCATGATGCAGGCCCTCTCCATGCCTATCTACGTCTTCCGAGCCGTCCGGCTCGGTGACAAACTCAGCGACGCCGAAGTTGAGGGGTAAGACTTGGGGGAAAGGGTGGGTCTATTTTTGAGGCGCCTCAAAAAGTGAGGAGTAAGGCCTGGGGGAAAGGGTGGGCAGTTGGGTTTGGGACTGGGGGATGGGGTTGGAGGTGGCTGGGGGCAGAGTGGAGGGGGAGGGGGGGAGAGGGTGGAAGAAGGGGGTGAAGGGGGAAGAAAGAAAAAGGGGGTGTGGGAATTCCCAGGGAGTTCAGATGGTGGGAGAGGTGAGATAGCGAGTGCTTGAGTAATAAGCCGTAGTTGTTTATTTCCAGCTCCCTCACACAACTATCTCACTGCACATCACATACACAAACATGAACAAAAATCATCATATCACCTGAGTGTTAGTTACTCCTCCATCACTGCAACTGAATCCCTTCCACTCATTCTTATCCCCTCTATTGTCTTCCCCACGCCAGACTGTACAAGGCTTCAGCTGTCCCAGTCGCATACCCAGCAGGTGGGGAGGGCGAGGGCCAGATGCCAATGAACGAGCCTAGCTTTGCAGAAGGCTCTGACAACTCGTATGCGGGTGAGAGCGGTGCCGGTTATAAGTAAATTCGTAGGGTGCAGTTTGTGATGAGTTTCTGAAACTTGTGTTCGGCCTAGGTTACCTTATGCTTCTGTGAATCTGAAATAAGAGTACACACAATGCCATTTACTCCTTGAAAATCTAAAGCTTTTAGAGAAATATCCAAGTTAGAATCAAGTAGTTGGAAATTGGCCTACTTCGTTCTGAAAAAAATGTGTGACAGGTTCATATCAGAACAAGTTAAGAGAGGAGTATAGTAAGGAATTTTCTCGACATTCCTTAGCGCGACCTGCAACGTCCCGTACAGCAGCAGCCGTTGTTCGCCCGTCACTGCTAACGGAGCTCGCCAACTTCGTGCGCGAACCTCACCAAACCTCACACTGCTGGCCCGGCCGTGTCGGCCTACGCTTCGGGACTAGCCCGAACCTCGCTACCAGCGTAGCACTAGCTAGCTCGCACGCACCGCGTTACCGTTTGCATGTTTCGCGTATAAATGTTCGCTCACGCCTTCGCTCACATTTTGTACTCGTTTGACACCTTTGTGCAATCCTCGCTACCTCGCTTCATTGCACCCGTAACACTTGGTATTCAGAGCCTCTTTCTTTTCGGACCGCGCATCTCCGCACCCCAGGAAATCAACTTTTGATTTTTCACTCGAAGGGACTCACGCACCTTAGCCCCTAGGAGCCGCTGTCCTCGCGTTCTCTCGTAAACGCGTGCAGCCACGACTGCGCCTAGACTAAGCCGAGCCAATGCCCTTCGTAATGGCCGAGCACATCGACGTCACCACTCTCACGCAGGAGCGCTTGAACGAACTGCTGCAGCAACTTTGCGAAAGTTCTGAAGAAATCGCGACGCTGACGGCAGAACGCACGTCCCTGCAAAATGACGTCGCACGAGCACAGCAAGCACAATCTCAAGCATCTGGCACTCTGGTACAGCTTGCACTACAGACATCGCAACATGGAAGTGTGGGGCAACTCGCGAGCGCGGCCAGTGATGGCATCGTCCGCCACGATGGAGACGACGACCACGGCACGACACACCCCGAAGCGACGAATGCGGCCAGGAGTCAGCCTCGAGTCACGATTTTTGTGCCGGCCAGCGAATCAACACTGCCGTCGCCGATGCCGCTGAAGCCGCAGCGTCCGCCATGCTTTGACCCGAGTCAACGGGGTGGTCCTACCGTTCAGGCATGGCTGTTCATGATGAATGTCTTCTTCGATGCCAACTACGTCTCGGAGGATACGGCGAAAATCCGTTACGTCATGTCACTGCTGCGAGGACCCGCCATGGACTAGTGGCGTGTCATCGTCACGAAGCCGATGGACTACGTGACTCTACCTGTGAAAGAAAGAACGAGAAAATGAATTGACTATGAACGAAGTGAGTACAAATAGGAAACCCTAGTTGGGTTGTACCCCCTATGGGATACCCCACTATAGCCTACACAAATAAGTAAGCTATATAATATTCTGACACACCCCCATAGGCAAAGTGGGGGAGAACAAGGGGTCACAAGACCAGTCAAGCAAAGCAAAGCAAAGCTCAGGGTGGATCACAAAGTCACCACACATTCCGAGCACAAGTTCAAGGGCCACAAGGCCAGTTCACATGCAAGATCATATATAGAGATATACAAGAGTCAAGCAAGCAAGAGCAAGAGTATATATAGGTGAAGGTACAAGCAAGGTCAAGAAGTGAGCAAGTGAGGCAAGACAGGCACAAGACCCAGCTGCGTGCAGCAACGCTGATGATCACAAGGCGCAAGTGCCTTGATGAAGACATCAGCAGTGTTGGCCTCAGAGGCCACGTACGCAAGTCGCAACTGTCCACGCTGCTGTAGCTCGCGAGCAAGAAAGTAGCGGAGAGCAATGTGCTTTGTCCTGTGCTCCAGTCGCTGCTCTCGACACAAGGCCAGCATGGCCTTGTTGTCTACGTACAGGACTGGAGGAGAACTAGGCGGCTCTCCAAGGTCGGTCAGCAGGTAGGTGAGCCAGCGAAGCTTCTGAGCAGCCATAGCCCCGGCGTAGATCTCAGCCTCACAACTCGAGCCGAGAACAGAAGACGAGCGGGTAGCCCGCCACGAAACAGAGCCGGAACCAAGGCTGAAGGTGTAACCCTGTGACGACCGCTGCGTAGCCTGGTCGTCAGCCCAAGAAGCGTCCGCGTGCTTAGTGAGGACCATTGGACTGCGCCCTCCAAGCACTAGCCCCATGCCCGACGTACTGCACAAGTAGCGCAACACCCTCTTCGCTACAGCCATGTGCTCTGGTCGGTGTCTCCCAGGAGCAACATAGCGTGCGATAATGCTAAGAGGGTATGCAACGTCAGGTCGTGTGCAGGTCATCAGGTACATGAGGCAGCCAACAAGCTCTGCATACGGACCACTCGACTCTACGGACTCATCCGAAGGCAGAGCTGAGAGCGAGTGGCGAGTAGACAGAGGAGTGGCCTGAGGCGAGGAGTACGTGAAGCCGAAGCGCTGAAAGACCTGCTGCACCATGTGTGACTGAGTCAGGGTAATGGTGCGGCGTGCTCTGTCCCGGGTGATCTGCAAGCCAAGGTAGCTGCGCAGTTCACCCAGGTCAGTGCACGTGTGTCTCTTCTGCAGCTCGGACTTCACGTAGGCGAGTCCAGCAGTGTCAGCTGTGGCAAAGACCAAGTCGTCGACGTACACGAGGATGTAGAACGGCGGCAGAGAGGTGTCGGTGCGCAGAAACAGCGACGGGTCGACAGTAGAAGGAGCAACCCCAAGTGCCGCCAGCGTAGTCCTCAGTGTGTCGTGCCACTCACGCGGCGCGTGGCGGAGACCGTAGACTGGACGCCGGAGACTCCACTGGGTACCAGGAGGGAAAGACCCAGTGAAGCCAGGTGGGCGACGCAGCCAGATCTCCTCGTGCAGACTGCCCTGCAAGAAAGCGGTGCTGAAGTCGAGAGAGTGCAGCTCGTAGTCACGGTGAGCAGCAACGTGCAGCAGTACCCGAAGAGTGGTCATCTTCGGGGTGGGGGAGAAGGTCTGAAAGTAGTCAACTCCCTGCCGCTGACTGAAGCCACGAGCCACGTAACGCGCCTTGAAGACAGGCGGAGAACCCGGCGGCCGCTTCACCCTGAAAATCCACATGCCACTGACGATGTTCGCCCCAGGAGGGGGAACAGCGTCAACGTAGGTGCCTGTGGACTTCCAGGAAGCCATCTCTGCATCCATAGCTGCCTGCCACTGAGAGGAGTAGGGACCCTCTATCGCCTCCGCGTAAGAGCGCGGAGTCGGGATGTCTAGTGCATCCGGGTCTCCCTCAGGGGCTAGCAGTACAGACGCGAGATGAGGTGAAGCGGCGGCCAGACACTGGAACTCCTCCTGCCTGTCCTCAAGGACGTCCGTGCCAAGGGCACACTCACCCCCGACGGACGGAGGACAGGCAGACTCAGACTCAGCGACAAGACTAGCAGCGTAGTCTAGACGACAGCGCGCAGCAAAGTCGACGAGCTCAGTGACAAGGGCAGACGCAGCAGAAGACTCGAAAGAAGGGTCAGTGACAGCAGTAGCAAGGAGACGCGTGACAGTAGGACTGGCAGCATGAAGAGAGTCCGACTCCGGGTCGGCAAGAGCAGGAAGAGAGGGAGCAGGAGGAGAAGGCAAAGGGGCACGCAGAGGAGCAGTGGACGGATGCAGAGACATCCGGTGCGTGCCAGGGACAGGAGGAGGACGCTGACGTGAACCGCGGCCACTAGTGCGTGCAAGACAAACAGGCGACGCAGGACGAGACGCAGGCTCACGACGCTCAGTAAGACCTCCAGTCCGACCAGTGTAGGGAGAAGGAGCAGGCAAAGGGGAGGCAGGCTGTAGCTGTGATTGGGACTGGACAGGCTGTGGACCCTCTAAGGGAGGAGGAGGAGGACCAAGAGAAGGTGGAAGACCAAGAACCTGCTGCAGGAGCGGAACGAAGTACGGTCGGGGCCGCGTGGCGACGCCAGAGACAGCAGGGACAGCACCAGTACCCCCAGCAGGAGTACCCGCTCCAGCAGCACCTCCAGCAGCACCTCCAGTAGCTCGAGAACCCCCAGCAGCACCAGGAGCACTGTCAGTCGGACCCCCAGCAGTAGTCTCAACGCCAACACCCTCAGCAGCACCAGCTCCAGGAGGACCCTCAGGCCTAGCAGCTCCAGCACACACAGCACGAGCACCTCCGGGACGCGCGGCAGCAGCACCCTCTGCAGCCGAAGAACCTCCAGCACCAGCAGCACGCCTCCAGCGCCGGGCAAACCACTCACGTAGCTCCTGTGGGGAGAGTGGCTCCCGGCGAGACGAAGCACCTCCAGGCGGAGAACCTCCAGGCACAGCGCCCTCACGCAAAGCGCCTCCAGGCGGAGCACCCCCAGTCTCAGCACCCCCAGGCTCAGCACCCCCAGGCACAGCACCCCCAGGCTCGGCACCCCCAGACTCAGTACCCCCAGGCTCAGCACCCCCAGGCTCAGCACCCCCAGGCTCAACACCTCCAGACTCCGCACCCCCAGGCTCAGCACCCCCAAGCGTAGCACCTCCAGTCCCAGCACCCCCAGGCTCAGCTCCCGCAGCAGCACCAGAGTCACCAGTGACCTCGACAGGCTCGACCGCGTCTACCTGGGACACACCTGAAGGGGCAGGACCCTGAGGGGGGAGGGGGTCTACCGGGGGGGGACCTGGTACCAAGAAGAGCGGGGGCGGGGGAAGGGACGGAGTGCGGTAGGGGAAGAGGCGGTAGTAGGGTACCGACTCGTCGAACGTGACGTCCTGGGAGGACAGAACACGTCGAGAGGTGGGGTGGTAGAATTGCCATCCAGGGGCGTCGGGGGGGGAACCCCAGGAAGACGCAGGGAGCAGCGCGAGGGGACAGCTTGTCCGCAGACAAGTCGCGGACAAACGCCCGAGATCCCCAGACCCGGAACGCCGACGCATCGCCAACCTTCCCCGTCCACAGCAGGGCTGGGGAGGTCTCCGGCCTGGAGACCCTGGGGTGGAGGTTGATCTGATGCGCCGCGTACCTGA